TCTCATGACAATCACACATTAGAAATCCAGCTGGAGAAAAGATGGAGAAAAGATGAGAACGAGAGACAGGGAAGAAATTGTGTTTGAGTTACATAGCGCTAAGAATAAGGCTCTAAAAACTTATGAGCACATTTGTCAATGTGTGCAGGTTGCCAAATTTGACCCTAACCCCACAGCCCCCCTTTTTTCCACTCCTTCAGTGTCTCACTTAATTCAGATTCACTTTATGCAAGGTTTTAGGGGACATAATCTTAGCGTAAAGCAAAGGAAGCCTATAGTTGCCCTAATTTGTCCACTTCCTCAAGCAGCAATAGCTGAAGCTGATTTTACAGATTCTGTCTAGGCAGCAAGCATAAACTCAGCAAGCTCTGCAATAATAGTGATACTAGTCTGGAGCAGATACTCTACCTTCAAAATGTTTTACAAACCTGTTAGGATGAAGAGATCCTATAAGTCTGAAAGGGGAATAAAGAGGATTCCAGTGGCGTGTTTTCTTCTGCATCTGCATCACAATACAAACTGAACCGCTTCACACTCAATTAAAATTTGCTTTGTCCTGAGAAATACAGATCTGATACTACCTGCCATGTGAATTTCACAAGAGCAGCTTTGTTTTGCAAATGGAGTTCCACTGGGAACTAGGAACTTGACTTAGAGATGTTTCAGTCATGAAACAGTTATCCTCTGTTGAGTGTCAGCTGAGTCTCTTTCAGGAAGCACTAATGCAGTAGTAGTGGAAAAGAAAGACCTCCTAGCTGCTGCATAATAGGTTTGATTGTGTGCTGTGGTCTGTGCTTGCTCATGCTTAGGAGCAACAGTGCTGGAGGTCCTTTTTTTAACCATAATAGTAACTACCAAGAATGTTAAAATTAAGAACTCTTTTTAACTTTTTTAAAATATATACAATATTTAGTTTTTGAGACTGAATAATTTTTTTTCCCCTATGGTTCCTTAGTTCTGACGAACCAATGAGCTGCTTGCAGATGAAAGTATCAGCTTCCTTGAAACAAGCATTGGAAAAGCTAAAACTATCATCAGAAAATGAAATTAAAAAGGGTATGTAGCTTGGTAGCATTCCTAGGTGTTTTCACAAAAGAATGTCTTATGTCCATTATTATAACTACTTCATTCTTATGGTGTGTGTGGTGCTATCAGGTTTGAAAAGCAAACATCCTGTGCACTAAATACTCAGTGTGAGTGCTTCTCTGATCTTGTATGTATCCCAATCCTTTCCCCCCCCCCCTAAATTTCTTTAAGCATGAAAACTTAGAAATGTTATAAAGCTCAGAGTTCTTATTTTACAGAAGAAGATGGTGATGAGATAAAGATTGGGACTACGTGCAAAAATGCAGGCTGTTCAAAGGTAAGCATCTTAAATCTTATTTAAGCAAAACAGTAGACCTTTTGTTTTATTTCAAGTTTGTTTTTTTCAGTACAGACCCTGCCAACCAATGTTAGATCAACATATCCCATGAATAGTTATCATATGCATAAGTTGAACTGCATATGAGGTATGGCTGTGTAAGTGCATTTTCTTGTATTTGCAACAAAGGAAGTTTTCACCCATTTTCTTATTTTTAAATGCACAATAACCATAAAAACAAAAAGTTATGTTTTTAAACAGTTTAAAGTTAAAATGTAAAATGTTTATCCAAAAAAGCATATGTAAATATTTTTCCAATGTTTCTTAAAAGATCCACAGAAAAGCATTCCCCACCCCCCCCATCCTGACAGCTGGAGGAAGCAGTAAACTCGGCTAATTGTGAAGCTCTCTCAGGCGATGTCCAGTGGGAAATGCAGAATAATAATAATGGCTGTAACAGTGCTTGACTTCTACCAGCTTGGGAAACACTGGCATGTCTTCTGCTGTAATTCAGTGGCTAATGAACAATTTTCTGTTAATGTTTCCCTAGACATTTGAAGGATCAGACAGCATGGAAGACACGTGCACATACCATGCTGGCGTGCCTATATTCCATGAAGGGTAGGTACCCTGTGGCTAAATTGATTCTTAAAGTTCTGTGTAGCTGAGCAGCATATTTTGCTTACTAGCCTTAATGCTATGTGATCCTATGTAGTTTTTTTCCTGCCCTTTGTAAAATATAGGATGAAGTACTGGAGTTGTTGTAAGAGGAAAACAACAGACTTTAATACTTTTTTGTCTCAAGAGGGCTGCACAACAGGAACACATGTATGGATTAAGAAGGATGCTGTAAGTAGTTGCAGCTATACTTTTTGGCTAGATTGATTGGATAAGAAACATGATTTTTTTGGCTTTGCTTTCAATCAGTTTGTACCTTAAGGTAAGAGCTTGAATTCTGTGAAATTTCATATAGAGGAAAGAAAGGGTAGTTGGAACCCAGCGTTTAGAGGAACATCTATATATAGAATGAAATGTAGCATTTATGTGTTAAACACATTTTACAAACATGTTTCTGTGAGTTCTGGCAGTTTCTGCTATGTTATACTGTGTCTTACTCCATATGCTAATCTGTTCTTCTAAAAATACATTTATACCAAATGTTTAGCTTTAATTGCCTTTTTAAACCACATTGCCAGCAAGTTTTTAAAATTAATATACTGAAAGTAACATTGATGGGTCCTAGACTAGGAAACCTTCGGTAGAACCATATGTTGTATCTTCCATGCAGTATCAAACCTTAATCATACAGATTCCCTAGAATTGTCCATAAAGTATACTATGCAGTTCCTCTTTTCCTACAGAAGAGATGAGTGTCCTGAAAGCTGTTACTCCTCTCACTCACTCTAGTAGATTGGACTGAGTCTTGTAACTATAGCTAGAATGGGAAAGGACAGCTCCCCACCACTTTGCTAGTTATTCCTGCCTAGCTCCAGAAAGCAAGGTACATAAGGAGCTGTGAGTTTTCCATTCCTTGCCCTTTTAGCTCTCTGATGACTAGAGCTGGCAAAATATGGTAAAGTTCCTGGGTACAAATATTGATAGCTCTGTCATGTAGAAGAAATATATTTATTTGTGGAGCAACTTCTTTATTTCTTTTCATGACAGTACTCTTATAGAAGAACCTCTCCTGCAGTGAACTTGCTGGGGTAGGTTATGCAAGTTGATGGGAGGTGAAGCTCTGGAATAGGGCTTCTGAAGTTCCAGTGGTTCAGGCCTACCTTTCATAACCTTAGGAGCACTTTTAAATTAAAAAAAAAATTTTTTTTTTGGCTTGTCCTAACTGGTAAGGTAGAAAATACAGGTTCCTTTTGTTATTTAAAGATACAGTTGCATATATTCTACCAACTGGAGAAAACTTAATCTTTCTATGGCATAAATATTCCTATACTCTGTTTTTAGTGAAAGCTTTACTTATAAAAGGTTTCTGTTCCAAACTCTGGCTGACAATGGTAGTCTTCACTCCAATGAAAAAACAGATAGCAGTTATTATTTTTTTCTAATGAAAAAATTATCATGTTTGTGTGCTCAACTTTAAGGGGAAGAAGGTGGTCCCATGCAGACACGATTGGCATCAAACTGGAGGTGAAGTGACTATTTCAATCTATGCGAAAAATTCCATTCCGGAACTTAGCCGGGTAGAAGCAAACAGCACATTAGTGAGTTGTCTTGGCTTGGTGTCCTCTTCTTGATGTTTAAAATTCATTTTTCTTTTCCTAAAATTAAGGGCTGATGTACAAGTGCAAGTATTTGATTGATTGATTGATTGATTGATTGATTGATTATGTGCCTCTCAGTGTACATAGATAGATTTTCCCCATGATGATCTGTCCCTAAGCTGGTCCTTCAGGTCTTCCAATGGTGTACTCATTCCCACTGTAACTGAGTCCATCCACCTTGCTGCTGGTCATCCTCTTCTCTTTCCTTCAACCCTTCCCAGCATTTGAGCCTTCTCCAGTGAGTTAGGTCTTACAAACAAAAAATAGTAACAGCTTTCAGGAGATCATACTCCATTAGAATGCAAAGGATGTGAGACATCTTCCATAGAGCAGTATGTATGATAAACTACATCTATTAAATTAGTTACAATAAAGTATATACACAGAGAGAGAGATACATACACACATAGAGGTGGTCTTAGTTCTTTGTAGGTGCTTTTATGTGATGCTGATTAAAAAACTGATTATCTGTTGGTTGGAGGACATCATAATGTAATGGATATGTATTTGGCTCAGTAATCAAATTCAAAGAGTACTCAGCAGCAGCTCTTCATCAAACTGTAGGGAGGTTTTAAGTGAGGTGCCACAAGGTTCAGACCTGGGTCTTGTATTTTTCAACATTTTTATTGGATGAGAACATAGAGGAATTGCATATTGAATTTGTAGGGGATACAACATTGAGTGGCATACTTAATACTTCAGAGGACAAAAAATTAAAAAAAAATAAGTTCAAGTTAGAGATATGGGCTGAAAATAAAAATGCAATTTAATAGAAACAGAGTTCTTCACTTAGAAATTTAGCACATAGAAACATAGCGGCAAATACTGGATTAATAATGGTAGTTGTGAAAAAGAGCTTGGAATAATAGTTGATTTGCAAACTGGATATGAACCAGCAGTGTGATGTGATTGCAAAAAAGGTAAATGCGATTTTAGGCCACATCAGTAGATACATAACTTCCCAATTGTGGGAAGTGATCATTCTTTTCCACTACATTTTGTTTCTTTGTGTGGGGTAGTATCAAGTTAGGGGCACCATACTTTAAGGATTCAGAGAAATAGGAACAAGTTCAGAGAATGGCAATAGGATAATCTAGAAATGTTCTATAAAGAGAGGTTGAAGGAACTGGGAATTCTGACTCTTTCTTTCACAAGTTTAAAGGGAAGAGTTACTTCCAAGTAAAAATAGCCCTGGTTGGATAACTTTGACCAGAGTAAACTTACATTTCTGTTTATAAACTTTTCTTTCTTTTGCAGTTAAATATTCGTATTGTGTTTGAAGGTGATAAGGAGTTCAATCAGAATCTGAATTTATGGGGTGTAAGTACTTAATTCTGCAACAAAGTTTCAAGTTTCTCTTGTAGTCTTTATGGTTTCTGTTGTCAGACATTTCTAATGCAGTGTAATTGTGTTTTAAGAAATGTACAAATGTCAAAGGCTAGTTGACAGTTGTAGTAGGTGATTAGTGAATGGATTCTATGCACTTCAATCATTATTCCCATGGTGATGTGCAAAATTCTATATGGCACCTCTGAATCAGTTTTTCATTCATCATAATCACAGCCTCTTGGAAAACCAGTTGAAAATCCAGAAGTGTGTCCTTTTTCTCTCTTGATATAAAGCTGTGACATTTAAGGTAGATTGTGTAAACAATCTATATTTCCTGATCTCAGAAATATAGGCAAGAAGCATTCCAAACTGCCAGTGTTATTAGTCTCCTTCTATTTTTATACTTTGTTTAGGAACAGAATTTCCAATTGCCCTATTCATTTGGCAAGTATTCCTTTTATCCACAGTTCTCTCATAGATAATATTGAGCCATGTGTACAAGGTGGATTTCTTTTTTCCAGATTTGAGGGACTTCCACCAAGAAACATCTGCCTGAAGCTGTAACAGTGCTTACTGATTTCTCTGTAATAAGTTAGGATAATCATGTGCTGATACTGTAATTGCATACTGAATGAATTGCATTTAAAGATGTTTGTCAGTCATCCAGTTTACTGCTTGAACTGAAATGACTATTTTCCTCTTCCAGGTGATTGATGTGAAAAGAAGTTATGTAAATATGACTGCTACAAAGATTGAGCTCACTATGAGGAAAGCTGAGCCCATGTTATGGGCAGGCTTGGAACTCCCAGTGTCTAAATTGCAACACAAAGAGCCTCAAAACATTGCAGAACAAGCTTGAAATCTGAAAGAGTCTGGCTGCTGTGCCTGGTGACATGGTGACTTGCTGTTTTAACACGAATTGATTTTATAGGCAGTCACTTTTTAAAACTTTTCATTCCAGCTCAAGCGTAGTGCATGGCTTCTTATCAGTGTGGCAGATCACTGGTTTCGTTGTACTGACTCCTTAATTTCCCCAATTATGGCTGATGCTTGTGGAAACCTTGCAAATGTCAGAGTTTTCTGTCATCTTATCATAAAGGAAGCATATGTTTTCATTGGCCCAAACTAAATACATCTAGAAGCTAATCATCTCTAGCATCTTCCAAGAAGCAGCCTCTTGTATAATGAAAATCCAAGCTAATTTTCATAAGGTAGCTGGATGCTTGCAAGCATTCCTGTTTCTCAGTCTGTAGCAAGGATAGCACAAAGGATTATTGCTGTGTATCTGTATCATCTTTTTTTATGTTAATCCGTGCAGAAATGGAATGGTGGTAAAAAATCTGATGGTTTTAGACTCGTCTGGGCATAAAGTTGGTAATTCTTCTCTTTTTTATTCCTTGGAATTCAGGAAATATATTGCTGTCATTGAGCTGCTAAGTAACCTCTGTGCACATATTCAGAAAGCTGAGGCTTTCCAAGACACCAAGATAGCTAAAGCAGGCATTAAAAACGTTGGGTCCTCGGGCAGTTGTCTCGTTTGCTTCTCTTAGGCCTTGCCCTTAGCCGTAGAGGAAATTAGCACACACACAACGCTCAGCTATTTGTCTTGTGGTTCAACTTTTATATTTGCACATCTGAGACTGATGTTGATGGCTGTGTTGTTCTGATCAGTTTTTCTGTCTCTTGTGATAAGGCAGATGAGGCATCTAGGTATGCTGAGACTGCGGTATTCTCTGTTATCCCTTCCATCCCTATGTATTTCGGTTTGCTACTTTCACTCTTGCTGGGAGTGTGGGTTTTAATGGGGGTAGGGGAGGCTGGGAGGGCTGAAATATATGGAATAAATGTAAAATGGTCAGTTTCACGCAAAACTAGGATCTTTGTATAAATTGCGAGTTGCGTTGCAGAATAAGTTACTGTAGTCAGACTGAACTTTTATATACCTGAAGATAGAGCAAAGTACTATAGAAGCAGAGTCACTCACTAGTATCACTCAAGTATTAACTGATTGCATGAAGAAAGAGGTGCCTTTTATAAAGCATGCATTGCTTGCATTTGTATACTTCTATTTTAAAAAAAGGTTTTAATCTGGCAATTGTTGGAAGGGAAAAAAAAAACGATAAAGCCACCTCTCCTGGTTGTAATTCTTATAAGTATTTGAGACGGTTTAAACTTGCGTTTTCTCAGAAAAGCTAAACTCTAGAAGATATCCATTAATAAATCCCACATCTTCAGATTCTGCTTTTCTGTGCTTTGTGCTCCAGCTTTAGCAGCTCTTGAGGATCTGCTTTTCTGATCTGTGTGGTCTTATTCTTCCAAACTGTGCCTAATAGCCACCACACCTGTACCCCAATCACTCTTGGATGCAACTATCCCGCACTCGACAGTCTGGAGAAGCAACTCAGTGAGTTACAGACACTGCAGGCAACTTCTATTATACCCAGGTAGATTCTTTGGTGATTATAGATGTTTCCTATGATTTGATTTCTGAGCAGGCTGTGCCTTCCGATGACAAACTGCATAAAGTGGAACTCTAATTGCAAACAAAGTAGAGGATGGTAAGTACAAACTCTTCTGAGATTTGAAAGCAAAAAAACCTGCCTCTCAAGAACAAAGCCATGGTTTAAAATAACGTGTAAAAATTGGTGGAGAAAGTACAACAAATCCAGGTTGATCTTAATTGTCTACTTACAGTTTACTGGGAATATTTTTTCCAACAAGAGGAAAATTTAGTCTCAGAATATCAAATGGCTGCTTTTTGTTAACAATGTATCTTTACTTCCCAGCTTCCCAGCATTGTCAAGTTTCATTACCGTAACACTTAGATCTAGTTCATATTGCACACCAGTCAAAGCTTTGTTCAAAGACTTCTAGGAGGCAACGGCGCTAGCAGGACTTGAAACCAATAGCTGCAGGCACATTTGGAGAACAAATTTCTCCGCCTCCCAGATTGCCATTACTTGTTCGTTCACTTGCCTTGATAAATCCTGATTTTAAACTACAGAAATGGCTGTACTGTAACTTCCCTGTTTTTTTGGTGCTCCTGCAGTAAGCTGGTGGCAGATGGGTGCAATGAACAGTCTCCACAGGCTTCTGCGGTTCAGGCTTATTTAGTGAGTGATTCACTACACGGAACCTATCCTAGCACTGTGTACTATGACTTGGTAGGGACTTGACAGCATTCTTCCCCTGCCATTTTTGTAGTCCCCTATTAGGCAAGAAAAAAGGCTGGCCCGTCCCTTAGCATTACAGTGTGCAAGGCCTCTTGTTGATCTTGATTTGGGCAGCTGCTGCTATAGCTCAGTGGACGGTGTGCCATTCCAAGCACAACTTCCATGTCTACAGCTGAATCACTTTTTTCCAAGTAAAATACGTGGGCATTCTTCTGCAAGGCATGTTTAATTTGGGTCCCAAATTTTATTAACATGCTAGAAGTGCTATACAGCCAAGTCACCATTTCAACAGTCAATACTATTGTTTTGTCTTGAAAAAAATGATTGTTTTCTGTATATGAATAAAGATATTTGCTTTAAATTATAGCATGAGAATTTTAAAAAATCAGTGGCTGTTAACTGAGTTTTTCCATACTGTATCTAAGAACTTCAGTTGTATATGGAAATTGAAAAAAAAAATAGGTGTCTGGAACACTAGGTTTTTCAAATGGTTTTCTTTTTTGGTGTCTTTTCCCATGCATGGATGTTCATTTTAAATTTTGTTGGAGGATGTTTGAGGTCTCATGCCTTCAGATCTTTTTTATAAATTTATGGAATAAACAATTCAGTGCCTAATTTCTACCATTTTGGAAGGATTGGGAGAATTTTTATTTATGTAAGAGGACCTGTTTGCTCAGACCACAAAAGATTTGTTGAGTGTTCTGCCTTGTATTGTACAATTTATGGACTTCCACACACTAATATTGTAGAGGACGTATTTTATTGACTACCTCCATCAAAGCCATTGCCATTTAATACCATAGTAGGGCCCACAAGTGAATATTCAGTAGCATCAATTTGATGTTTTTATCATGTGTGGAGCAACTGGAGAACTGAGAGACTGCTTTAAGCAAAGTTCAGTTATATAAGGTAGCTCCTTTCTCAAAACAGATCAGCTTCTTCCACAGAAGATCAGTCAATCCCATTCTTTCTCAGCCTGGTTTGATGTCAGCTGTGCATGATGAGCAATGTAGCCTCAATATATCTGAAGAATAACCACTCTGTTTGAAGGTAATATCCAGATTACATTTGATTAGGGGATGCACATAAGATACAGTGGGGCAAAAAAGTATTTAGTCAGCCACC